AGTCATGTTTCACTCCAAAATCTAAAGAAAAATGACATTTTCTTCAGATTTGAGACGTTTTCCAAAGTTGTATTCCTATTACTGTCATGTGATAAAGAGCAATGAGTAAAACACAGAAGTAAAATGTTCATATATATTACAGTGATGAGAAATAGGGTGAAATATGACTTGAAATGTGGGGAAAAAACACTTTGAAGGTACTGATGGGAAAGAACTCATGTGATCCATAGTTGCATGCCTGAAAACAACTGCAACAGTGTTTTCTATTGAGGTTTTGTACCAGTTTAATCAGATGTTATTCTTGTGCTCTGCCTGCTTCATTCCAAGATGTCAAGTTGTTGTTTATTATGCTTGATGCCTGCAGGCGATGGAGGGCTCAATGCTGACACTCAGCTTGGCTAACTGGATGGAACTTCCTGGTTTGAAGCTGAAGGAGTGGATGAGAGATAAACGAAGGTATAAAGAAATGAAACCCAAACATTAAAATTAGTGCAGAGAATAAAGGGCTCGTATTTCATACAACATTCTTAGTCAGATTCTTGGCATAAGTCTGATATGAAAATAAGATTCCCCCTTTGTGTTAGTCCTAGAACCAAACTGAAACTGTTAAGCAACTTACAAAAACTGCTCTGTGTACATTTTTCTGTTAAAATACTTTCTCTTTTTCTAACAATGTGAGAAGTATAAGCAATAATTATCTTAATTTCTCTTAAGATGGTGGATCAAAACCTTTCATCAAAGTTGTCTTAAAACCTAAAACCAAAATGCGTTCTTGTCTTAGGGCAACTTTGATGAACTTTTTCGATCCACTTCAAATGTTGACTACTGGTTTTGTAAAATAATAAGTCTCTCTTTTTTTTCCAAATTGTCTTTTTTCCAGTATCTAACATACTGGTTTGTGTGTGCAGAAATTTACGTAATGACCGGGCCACACCAGCTGAGATTGCATCGTACTACCAGCACTATGTGACTAAAATGGGTCTGGAGAAGAGCTTTGCTTGCGGCACCACCGTAACCTCAGTGTCTCGGGTTTCCCTTGAATCTGGCTGCTCCGTTTGGAAGATCCAAGGCCTCCAGAGAAGAGCAAGCAGTGGTGAAGAAACTGAAGTCCCTTTCTCTGTCTATGCCGAGAACGTGGTGCTTGCCACAGGAACCCACGACATCCCTGCCCGTCTTGGCGTGGAAGGTGAAAACCTTCCCTTTGTGTGCCACAGCTTCTGGGAGCTGGAGGCTGCCATTTCCTCAGGCCGTTTGGACCGTGCCTCAGAGCCGGTTCTTGTGGTTGGTGCTGGGTTGACGGCGGCGGATGCCGTTCTGGCAGCTCACCACTTGAACACTCCTGTATATCACACCTTTAGACGACCTGTGAGTGATCCGGCGCTCATCTTCAACCAGCTGCCCAAGCTCCTCTACCCTGAGTACCACAAAGTGCATCAAATGATGAGCCAGCAGCAGTACAAAGTGGGTGAGACGGTGGTCAATCTGTCCAACCAGCCTCTTTCTTCACCTGCTGATGGCACCAGCCCGTATACCTGTTATCCTGGTTACCTAAGTTTCCCAAAGCACCATGTAGCTGCCTTCAGACGTGATGGCAAGTGTGTGCTTGAGGATGAGGGAGGGATACAGACAGTGCTGCAAGTCTCAATGGCGCTCGTTTTGATTGGTGCCCATCCCAACCTGTCATTCCTCCCAGAACATGGTGGTCCGCTGGCGTTGGACTCGGAAGAGCCAATCAGTTGTCGGCGGAACCCGCTAGACGTGGATCCATACAAGTATGAGTGCGTGAAGGAGCCAGGGATGTATGCCATGGGTCCGCTGGTGGGTGAGAACTTTGTGCGGTTCCTGAAAGGCGGAGCTTTGGCCATTGTGTGTGATATCGCCCGAAAACAAAGTAAAAAAACGTCAAGAGAATTGCACAACAAGCTCATTGAATATTCAACTGACCAACTGCACGTTGGAAGCATGAAGAGACATTGACTTTAAAGGGGTGAAAAGAGCTCTTTGATATCTAGCTATCTGGTACTTCCAGAATCCACATACATGTCGGAAAATGCTCAGTGGTTCTGCTCCAACTGACACAAAGGAATCAGTTGTTGAACAGTTCGTGACCGTTCCGACATTCCACTGCAAGCGCACGGACACAGTTTTTTGTTGTTAATGGCTAACTAACCCGCCTCTGAACATTAATCGGAGTCTCCGGACACAGGGTGCTTTAACACTTCAGGGATTTATTTGTCCGTGGCTGCTCACTCGAAACACTACTCATGTTCTCACAGCAATCATGTTCTGTTGTGCCAAATTAACATTTGTATGCTCCGTGTTTTCAAATCTAATACTTCCTTCATGCACGGAAAACACAAAACTAAACTTTGCCAAGCAAATGCTGCTGTTGTATCAATGGTGGTGGTACTAACCCTCTTACTGTCTTCTTCAATGAATGTATAAATCATAGTGGACCTAAAAAATCAGAAAGATCATAGCATTTTAACTTCTTGTCTCCCGTACATTGCCTTCCCAAGTAAAGCATACAGTTGTAGTGAATCCTTTGGTTAGACCAGCAAACCAGACTTGAGTGTCTAGAATTAGTGCTCTTAAAAGTTTAAGACGTCTTTGTTTCATGCTGCTGTTACTAACCTAAAGCCAAGCTCGGAGAGGTCAGGCTGCACTTACAAAACTGACCACAAGAGGGCCTTTGCACGCCGTGACTGAAGCCAGCAACATTGCATCAGACATAATGATCTATCATGACGTTATTTGAATGAATGATTAATCCTACATAAGCTTATTCAACATTGTGTTCATTGACATGGGCCAAATATATGACCTTGAGGACCTTTTGATGCAATGAGTAAAATAACTGTAAATGTATTTAAATTTTGTAAGATGTAAATTCAAATAAAATGCATATCTTGTTCCTTCAAGAAAACTATTCTAGATTCAAGGTTATGATGCAACCTATTTCTGCTGTATTGCTTGCATGTAAGTTATGAACCCTGGCAGCTCTGATCAAACGTGTTTGTAAAAATAGTTTGTACTTTTTTTGAAATAAAAATATGTAGTTTATCTACATGGGTTGTTGCAGTCAAATACTTTTTTAAAAAATAAAAAAATGGAGCCTGAAAACAATACTGTGCGTTCATTTATTTATCTATGACTACTACTTGTTCTGTGCAGTTTTAAGAATGTTGGTCAAAGCCACTAAGGTAAAACGTTTAGTTTTAAAAAATGTGTTTCGTACATTATTCATACTTTTCCATCCATAAAAGGGTCACATGATAACAATATGGCTTTTGTGTGTTGGTTAAACTACAAAAAAAAGAATTTTTTAAGTCTAGATTTCTTCAAATATTTTCTTTAATATTGCTTCATTGCTTTTTTAATAGGTTAAAATATGAAATATATGAACATATGGCATACATAATATATACAAAAAAATAGGCAGTATACACAGTATATACTGTAATTTTTGTAATACACTAGTATCACATCACATATATTACAAATCACTACTAAAGTTTCACCACTAGATGGAAGCAAGTATTTACTACAGCTTAAGGACATCTGTACTAGTAAAAAAAAAACTTTTTAAGATCCTGAATATAATTTAATGTAATTTTATTCTACTTATAAGCTCTAAAATATTTATTTAGTTAGAAATGGCTCTTTTCAAGAGCAATCTCTATAAATGAATTCTAGAAATCCTTACTTCTAATGTTGAACCATTGCAAATTAAACAAATGAAAAGATACTTTGTGTGTGATTTCGAAACGTATTTATGTATATGTGAAATGAACTGTTGATTTTATAGCAACACTAAAAGACACTGACTTAAATACTCCATCCATGGACTTTGTGAGTCTGGATGTTTGTGCTGTGAGTGGGCACATGAAGCTGTGTGGGAAGCCCTTTGCAGACTGATGAACAAGGTGACCTCCGCTCTCTCCCACAGACAGACAGGTGGCCACTAGAGGACGTGATGCTGAATTTATCATGTCTGTGTTGCTATGAGACCGCTGAGCTGAGAGGTGGACTCATTTCGTAATGTCAGGTAACAGTACAAGGCTGGGCAAGATTACAATGATGATGCTGACTCATAGATGATATGAATCCCTGAAAACCAGCTCTTGTGTGTAGGCTACATAAATCTATCAGGATGTACTTCTGTTGTGATTTATCTTTATAGAAAGAAAGTACATTTTACATTTCTTAAGAAGAGAGAGTTTAGCAAATGTGGACAGCTTGTAGTCATAAGTAATGAAGTAAATGGTTTTTAATAGTGTTTATCAAGTCTTATCATTAAAAATAAATGAATAAAAAGAGCAAAATGGTTGTAAAAAGTGATGCAGTTGGTAACTATTTCACAAATTTGAATCACATTTTCGCTTTTACTTGTTTGTCTTAAATGTTTTTAAAAATACAAACATTTCATGTTGTGTCTATTATGAGGTCATATTATTATATAGGTCATACCTATATTATATGTGACCCTGGACCACAAAACCAGTCTTAAGTCGCTGGGGTATATTTGTAGCAATAGCCAACAATAAGTTGTATGGGTCAAAATTATCGATTTTTCTTTTATGCCAAAAATCATTAGGATGTTAAGTAGTAAAGATCATGTTCCAAGAAGATATTTTGTAAATTTCCTACCGTAAATATATCAAAACGTAATTTTTGATTAGTAATATGCATTGCTAAGGACATAATATGGACAACTATAACTACAAAGGCGATTTTTGCACCCTCAGACAACTAGTTAGATAACTAAATAGTTGTATCTCAGGCAAATATTGTCCTATCCTAACAAACCATACACCAATGAAAGGCTTATTTATTCAGCTTGCAGGCGATGTATACATAATTGACCCTTATGACTGGTTTTGTGGTCCACGGTCACATATATTATTTACATACATCAACTACTTGTATGTTATGACAAAAGTAACGGAAAAGCACGAACATGTCCGAGGTACTCATGCTCCGCCCCCTTTTGAGTTCGTCGCCAGCCGAGCCACACAAACGGGTTAGAAAGCGCCAGAGCGAGCGAGCCAGGAGTGAATTGTTTACTCTGTGGAATCTATCAGGAGCCGAAACTTTAGTCAGGT